AAATTACACCCTGTATTGTTGATACACAGTTGCGAGGTCGCTTTTATATTCTCGAATTGATTTTTTTATCCTGATACTTCGCAAGCTAGAATAAAAAATAACTGTTTTAGTTTTGTGATTGTGTGAGCACGGAAATCAAATTTAAGTAACTTTTACTGATAACCCTGTTACAGTTTGCATAGCAAAAAGTGGTTAAAATATTGCCCGAGTGTAAAATTGTACAAAAAGTGTATCAAATCAGCAGCAGAAACGACACGCTTTATATCATTTTTGTTTGTGATACTTTTATTTTATTACAGAATCTGGAAAAAGGAAGATAATAAATTCTTGACAAGTGTATTGAATTTGAATAGTATTTTTTCGGGCTCAACAAACCGATAATAAATTCGTCTACAATGTGCGTGCCATATATTTCGATGTATTTCGAGTATATTCCAATGTTAAAGATTGTTCGAAATATTTTGAAATTTTCATATTTCCCTTCATTCTGTCGTAAGTTCTAAAACTTCTAATTACACTACAAAAAGTGTTAAATTACATACAAATTAATCGAAGTAAAAGTCTAAGTAGATGTGTGTCAAAATATATAATATGTTGGGATTTANAAAAGTAGCAGGTTACACATTTAAGAGATTATGCGAGCTTTGAACACTAATACGCTAATGTTGGACGGGGACAAATTCAGAGAAGTGTTATAAAAATTATATGAGTAAACAGACGATTTATTTTTATATATTTCATTTATCATTGTTGTTTACTGCTTGAGTTTTTTACTAGGTTACTTATTAAGTACTATTTGTGTGGCGAACACTCTCAACAAAAGTAACGAGCGTCAAAGACCATTGTGGTTGCGCTGCGACTAAAGCGAGCTGTTATTGGAGATTATACTAGCTTGTCCAGCGGTGGGGTTAAAAAATTACAAAAAAATGGTTAAAAAAATAAGTTTTTACGAAGGAATTAGAACAAATATATTATTGCTACGTGTTTTCAAAGATCAAAGGCAGCCTCTGTATAAATATGACCCCGACTTAAAATTACACTCTGTACAGTTGCGAGGTCGCTTTTATATTCTCGAATTGATTTTTTTATCTTGATACTTCACAAGCTAGAATAAAAAATAACTGTTTTAGTTTTGTGATTGTGTGAGCACGGAAATCAAATTTAAGTAACTTTTACTGATAACCCTGTTGCAGTTTGCATAGCAAAAAGTGGTTAAAATATTGCCCGAGTCTAAAATTGTACAAAAAGTGTATCAAATCAGCAGCAGAAACGACACGCTTTATATCATTTTTGTTTGTGGTACTTTTATTTTATTACAGAATCTGGAAAAGGGAAGATAATAAATTCTTGACAAGTGTATTGAATTTGAATAAGTTGTTCGAAATATTTTGAAATTTTCATATTTCCCTTCATTCTGTCGTAAGTTCTAAAACTTCTAATTACACTACAAAAAGTGTTAAATTACATAAAAATTAATCGAAGTAAAAGTCTAAGTAGATGTGTGTCAAAATAAAACGCCGAAATGCATTGAAGAAGCTGAAAATACTTTCACGTTACCTATTGAAAATACCAAAACAACTATTAAAAAAATATATTATTTTCTCGGGCTACTCGCTAAGAGGGTAAAACAGAGAGACACATCAATAAATTTTTTAATTTTATTATACATATAAAACAGGGGTTGCTTTTCATGTGGAGGATAAAAATGGTGAACTGGCTCCTGGCCATCGACTGGCTCTCAAAGTGGCTCCGGACTGGCCCCCGATTCACCAAGTTTCCGGGGTTTAAATATTCTTCACAAAATGCTGAGTGCATTACAATTAAACAGCCGGTAGAAGAATCGGGAACAATGACTGAATGGATCCACTAGTTTATAGAGAGAGTGAACAAGATGGACATAGTGCATAGTGCAAGGCATAAGAGTAACTAAATAAGAGGCTTTTTTTCTGTGTCTTTTGCCGGCAGCAGCGGAAGAGTACGCCATCTGTAGCTGATGTGTAGTGAAACGACACACACAGACCATAAAATAATTAAGGAAACTGCATGGGAAAACACAATTAGAGTAACCTCTAATTCTACTATATAATAGATGTCGCTACATCATAATGGCGGTAAATTTAAATGTAATAAATTACACAGAATAAAAAGCATTTCATAAGTAATAGATCACAAAACAGCTACTAATAATTGATAATAATTGAAGTTAACAATTAAAATTAACCTGAACTATTAACAGCTGTTCCATGACCCATTACTTCTGAAACACTTTAATTATGTTTTAACACTTTACGGGATGTACATTTTTTATTTTGTTGTCTTTATGAGACTGAAATTGCCAAGACTGAATATCTTCCAATATATCATTCCAAAATGTAATATTTGCTGATTTCGTAGTAATAGTCGACTTTAGAAAACTGCAATTATTTAGCTGAATGATACGAGAATTTAAATTATCAAAAAGATCATTAATATCATTCGTAAACTCTGCTGTATGAATAGCCTCAGCAGGTATGCCAGTAGTGGGATTACTCACCATTGCCTCAACTTCATGAGCTACAGATGCACTTAAGGTTTATGCTGGAATTTTTACTTTCATTTTAACATTACTACGATTTAATTCGAAATAATGGTCATGTATCTTTTGTAAACCTTGGAAGCGCCTAGATTTATCAATTTCATAACATTTTACTATGTGGCTGAATTTTGCTGTTTTATTATGCGAAAATTTAATATTATTGTTATATAAAGCATTTTTGGTCTTTTTAAGCAAATGAGGAACGTCAAAAATGGGAATAATTTCCTCGCCATTAACATTAAAACTGGATTTATTTGATGACTCAGAAACTAACTGTCTGATAGCTGATCTGTTAGTGGAACCTTGATCACAAACTGTACAAATTATTTTTAATCCACAACACTGCAATGATGAAATTATTTCAGTTAGTGAAATAATTCACGATAGGTTGCTTCCAATGTTTACTAATATCTTGTACCAAAAAAACTCTAGAGCATGATTTGCTACCTCATTTTGTCTACCCAGGGACTCAAGATCGACATATCCCGTTACTTGATCTTTACAAGTGTCATAATTTAGACCAACAGATTCCGCTTCATTCAACTTGCTATCAGTAATCTCAGTAATGGCCCTAGTGCTCGCAGTAGCGCTTGTAGGAAATAACAATTTTGAATATATGTTTTTCGGTTTTTTAAAAGGTGGAGGTGAAAAATCATCCGAAATTGAAGTTTGGCAGCTCGTACTCTGAAAATTATGTAATGTTACGTTAACAAATTGTTTGGCTGAATATTGGATACTATCCGAGGATTCCAAGGTGATATTATTACAATTAATATATGAACTAGTAGTTGATCTTAAAAATAATGTCGGCACAGCATTTCTGTTGAGACTATTCCTATTACTGTTTTTAAAACATTTTAACTCAAAATGGTCTTCACAAAAATAATGATCTGTGTTTGTCTGAGCAGTCTGATTTATATAATGTTCGAACTGATTTTATCCACAGTAATTGTCCGTCTTTTGTAATTTTGAAAAAACTTTTATTTCTATAAGACGCATTATAGACATTCATATAGTAAGTGCTTTTGCAATTTGGAGCACAACATTGACGTGTAGTTCTACCAGATAAACTCATTTTGAATAAAAATACAGTAGTAAGGCAGTTCAGATGACTAATTCAATAAATCCCTTATTACATTAATCTAAAACAAAACAAATTTATTAATGCACAAAACGCGGCAACCTACCTGAACTGAAGATAAACTATAAACTATAACCTCAAACCTCCAACATTCTACGTTGATTGAAATATTTCAGTCAACGCATTCTATTTCTGTTGATTGAAAGCTTGGAAACACAGATTCGATCTGTGGTTGCAGATTTCTGTTTAACAATGTCCATAAAGGACAATGTTTTGCTACAACAACGTGAGATGGCCTCAGTGAATGCATGTTCGATCCGCCCTATCCAATAAAAGCCTCTTATTTAGTTACTTTTATGGTGCAAGGGTCAGTTCCATATGCATTCAATTTGCAACTGGATATGTAATTGATTCCAGTTATATTTATAAATTTTAAATGAGTTAAATGGATATTTGCACCGAAGGTACTTTTGTAAAAATCTACTAACGAAATATGTGTCCAAATAAAGTAATGTCCATACATATTTATCTTTTCAACGTTTTGACTATAGTTACAAGGTGATTATTTCCTCTCTCTAAAATACTTATAGTTGACAATACATTCAAAATTCTCCAAATTCGTCGAAATGCCTTTACAATGAAATACCTATAACAAGTTTATTCTATTTTAAAATAATAATTCCTCTACCTACGGTAAGCGAAACCAACACCATTTGTGAAGGTAAATTGCAGTTTTTGCTCACTCAGTCTATTTCTCTCAATCGCTTTGATTTTAATGCTTAACAAAGCGGCTTGGATATACCTTGACGTATTATTTAACGTTTTTAAAGCATACTCGACGAATTTTAATGTATTTTGAAGCTTTTTTTTATGTATATGTGATAATATATCCTGAAATTATTATTACGTATTTTACTCGTAAAACGATTGTGAGGAATTTTGATTTATTCTGGTATTGTTTTACGGACTTTGAAGCATCGAGAAACTATTTCTATATAATTTTGAAAAATTCTAAAACTGTTTTGACAATTTTAATGGATTTTGAAGATATCTTGCATGATTATGCACCATAAAATTATTATTAAATATTTTAAGGCTATTTTGAGAGATTTTTTGTTATTCTGAAGTTGTTTTACGTACTTTAAAGTATCGCAAACCTCTTTTGATTTATTATGAAGTATTAGAAGTGGAAAAATAGCACTCATCAATTGAATTATACATCCCTTGACATCATTTTCACTTTGCTTTTTCTTAAAAATTATATTTAGAAGCGATTAATTTCTAGACTTGTCAACGTTTTTTTTACCACAAGTCATGTCTGACTGTGTATTCTTTTTATTTTAGGACAACCACTGTTTGAGGATCAAGATCCTGGGGGACTGCTACTACTGCGTTTCCGGTTTGCCGGAGCCGAGGTCCGATCACGCGCACTGCACCGTGGAGATGGGGCTGGACATGATCGACGCCATCGCCAGCGTGGTGGAAGCCACCGACGTGCAGCTCAACATGCGGGTGGGTATCCACTCCGGTAGGGTGCTGTGCGGGGTCCTGGGATTGAGGAAGTGGCAGTACGACGTGTGGTCTAACGACGTCACTCTGGCTAACAACATGGAAGCTGGAGGAGAACCTGGGTACGTTAATAACAATATAAATAAAGTTATTCAATGCAAGGGACTGAAATTAAATCTGATTTGGCTGTTTTTTTTATTGTGTATATTATATCTACTGCCTGCTGGACGATTAAGTAAAACGTCTGGTGGGGTATGACTAGACACTCGAAACGGTCATCAGCAATGTGCTAGTAAGTGAAACGAAATAAATGGCCAGCCTAATATTACGTCGTCAACCTTAAATGTATAAATATATTTTCAACGGCATTACAGTTTTAGTCCAATTAAATGGGCCCTTAAATCACAATTTTGGTCAACTTGCCTGAATTTTTTATACAGAGTGTCCCGAAATTAGGGGGTTATATTTCTACAGGGTATTATGTCGAAAAAGATTATTTTTTCTTTATATAAACGTGGGTCCAAAAATTCATCCTAAGGAAGTTATAGCCACTTAAAGGGGCCAATCTGATGATGTTTTTTTTTTCAAATAACTCCGAAACCAGTTGAGATAAATTTATAAAATTTTGTAACTAACTTAACTCTTACGTGCCCAAAATTTACCATAACTTTTTTATGCGCTGACTTTTTTTACTTTTGACCGAAAAGTATGAAATTCCCGAGTTTTTTAGTAAAAAATGTATTCTTGGTTCATATTGGTGGAATGTTCCATTTTTGTGTAAAATCCGTTTAAAAATAATGTGTTCATCACCGGAAATCGAAATTTTCAATATTTTTGATCATCGCAGGTTTTGAATAACAAACATGCGTTTGGCGTTATTTGCATTGACAGTTCAGTTATTTACTCTTTGCGAATTGTTATCAATCAAAAATTTAATATTATTACGAACGTAGAGCTAGCTGATATTCATAATACCCATTTCCGGTGAGACGAAAATCCACCGGCAATACGGCGCACAAATTCTCAAATTAGATTTGCAATAAATGTGTGGACAGGAATTTTAGGGGACCAGCTACTTGGACCAATTCAGTTTCCCGTTGGTCTGAACGCGGAAGGATACTTAAACTTTCTGCAAAATGATGTAAGAAAACAATTGGATGATACACCTTTAAACGTACGCTTAACATTACACTATCAACAAGATGGGGCACCACCTCACTTTACCCATAATGTCATAAATTGGTTAAACTATCATTTTCCTGGCAGGTGGATAGGTAGAAGTGGTCCCATTCCATGTCCACCTCGGTCTCTAGACCTAAATCCTCTAGATTACTTTTTGTGGGGTAGGATGAAGGCTGTAGTTTATGTTACAGAAATAAAAATAAAGAATGCCTAAAAAAAACCTCAGGTATAAAAATATTTATCCATATGAAAATATTAAAAATGGATGTGAGATGAGAAGTGTATTTTTAAAGTATCATGAAAATTTAATATATAAACTGATATTTTGTAGCAAAAATACCCTGTTCAGTCATAAATATTTGTATCGTAAATGCATAATTTTTTCAATATTTATAGGACAAATTGCTGTTTCAACAGAAACACGCCCGTTCTTAGATATCAATTAAAATCTGAGCCAGGCGGGAGCATGTTATTCATGATTTTTATTTTGTTTTCAGCTACATTTTATATAGTTTAACAAAATAGTAAAAATTACACAGTAAATGCACATTCTATCACTTCGAAAATTCTGACTAAAAAATCATGTGTGTTACTGATCAAAGCCGATCAGGACACGTGCTGTAATAACAAAATGCGAATTATTTTCGGTCTTCTGGAATAGAAGAATGTACAATAATGAATTAATTCATTTTAAGTTACAACTTTTTTAATCATCTTACAATTAGTTTTTAAGATCATATAATTCTTTAAAATTTTAAATGTTTGTTACCCATCACCAAAGTGTACGGTTAACATTTTGACACTAATGTATGTCTGGGACACCATGTATATTTATCTTATTATGATCATTTAAGCCTTACGTGAGCATTTTCTCTGCAATTAAAATGTACTAAGTGTAAAAGTGTAGTTGCTTACTTTTGTTTTATTATCACAGTATTATATAATACACACGTACAATTGTGTGTATTATATTAAATTATAATTTTAAATATAAAATTGTAAAATATGCAACTATTTGTACTTTTCCAGTACTGCAAATAAGATTATAAAATAAAGCATAAGATTTTTTAACACTACAAAATTTTCCAGCTAATTTAAACTATTGTTTACTTTTTGTTACCTCATTTCTAGGTTCTCCTCTCTTGGATGGACAATTTCAAACCGTAATATAATTTAGGGGCCTGTTTAAATTTTCAGATCGTCCAGAATAAAATGTGTTTCACTTGGATAAAATTGACGTTGGATTCTTAATAGCAAATAAATTTTTATGATCAGCTCAATCCCAGTCCAAACAAACGTAAATAAAATTATATTACGGTTAGAAAACCAAAACAAGTGGAAAATTTTGTACCTATCTTTCCACCTATTACCCGTCCAAGAAGAGAAAAATAACTTAAGAAAAGTAAACAATAGTTTTAAATAGTTCTTAATAATGCTTCTGCCACTATCTACACCACTGATTGAAATAATTATACAGAGTGATCCTGAACTTATCCAAAAAAATGCTTGTATGTACAGGGGATTCTTACAATTGTGTAAAAAAAAATTTCGTTCACCGACGTGTAAACGCATTTGGGCCCGTCTTATCCATTTTCTACGAACTAACACAAATGTTGTCTTGCTTTACCATAACACAAATGCTTCACCATAACACAAGTGTTGTCTTACTTCACCATAAATTAAGACGATATCCATCAACTCCCGAGTCGCTATACACGTAAACCATTTTTGAGACTTGAAAAACTGATGTAAACACTATCGCAAAAATGTAAATACTAACATCGGATTTCAGGGTAAAATTTTACAAAACCGGCTTTTAGTATTTTTTCAAAATTTTTGCTAGTAAGTAAGAAAACCACGATATGAACTATGTTTGACCATTAAAATCATGCGCAAATGAGTAATAGTCCCAACAAAATTAAGGGAAAGGGGAGCGAATAAGGGCACCGGGCCAGTAAAAAAGGGTAAAAAATAGAGACATGTGAAAGGTATTGTAATGAGAAAGAGGTAATGTTTCATTAAAAATATGTAAGACTAAATTGGCTGTTAATTTATCTGATAAATGTATGGACATAACCTCACTTATTGGTAAAAAAATATAATACCTAACCTCTTCTCAACCTCGACACAGATCAAAGAGAAGTAATTGTTCTTTATCAGCTTAATCGCTGTCACAAAAACAGTGTATGTAAAATTTTTAATTATTTCAGAAAGAAATGTTAACCTGTTACTACTTCACTGTTGAATCTAGGGGTGCTGGTGTCTTTTTTTTTTCTATTCACAGCATTTGCTGCTGCCTTTTTGGTATTAGTATAATCCTAGCACAGGTTCAAATGTTTTAGATGAGGATAAAATATTTTTAATTAAACATTACCTCTTTCTCATTACAATACCTTTCAGACTGTTCTATTTTTTTTACTCTTTGTTACTCACCCCTTTCACGTAAGTTTGTTGAGAGTATTACTTTATTTCTTACTATTTCAGAAAAAAATTGGCAAAAATACCAAAAGCCGGTTTTGTAAACAATGACCCTAGAGACTACAATAGTCCAGCGATGTAAAGGTTGAAAATACTACAACTTCAATATATTTTTTTTCGGAATCTATAAGGATTTTACAAAATTCTGTTTTTACGATATTGACACCATTTTCCGTGAAGCATCTATTCCCAATCTTTTTTAGATAGGTTGTGAATCACCCTGTATGCAAATCAGAGTTTCTTTACCATTATTTTACGAAGAACGCCTGTCTAAAAATTTTTCGAGACATTTACGTAGGTACTTGTGAAGCATAAGATTTTTTAACACTACATTTTCCAGCTAATTTAAACTATTGTTTACTTTTTGTTACCTCATTTCTAGGTTCTCCTCTCTTGGATGGACAATTTCAAACCGTAATAAAATTTAGGGGCCTGTTTAAATTTTCAGATCGTCCAGAATAAAATGTGTTTCACTTGTATCAAATTGACGTTGGATTCTTAATAGCAAATAAATTTTTATGATCAGCTCAATCCCAGTCCAAACAAACGTAAATAAAATTATATTACGGTTAGAAAACCAAAACAAGTGGAAAATTTTGATGTAAAGACTATCACAAAAATGTAAATACTAACATCGGATTTCAGGGTAAAATTTTACAAAACTTTATTTTTTCAAAATTTTTGCTAGTAAGTAAGAAAATCATGATATGAACTATGTTTGACCATTAAAATCATGCGCAAATGAGTAATAGTCTAATTTATCTGATAAATGTATGGACATAACCTCACTTATTGGTAAAAAATATAATACGTAACAATCCTCTTCTCAACCTCGACACAGATCAAAGAGAAGTAACTGTTCTTTATCAGCTTAATATCGCTATCACAAAAACAGTGTAAATAAAATTTTTAATTATTTCAGAAAGAAATGTTAACCTGTTACTACTTCACTGTTGAAACTAGGGGTGCTGGTGTATTTTTTGTGTATTTACAGCATTTGCTGCTGCTTTTTGGTATTAGTATAATCAAAGTTTACAGAATAAATATTTCTGTAAACTTTGGTATAATCCTAGCACAAGTACAAAATGTTTTAGATGAGGATAAAATATTTTTAATTAAATATTACTTCTTTCTCATTACAATACCTTTCAGACTTTTCTACTTTTTACTCTTTTTTACTCATCCCTTTCCCGTAAGTTACTTGAGAGTATTACTTTATTTCTTACTATTTCAGCAAAAATTTGAAATAAATAGCAAAAGCCATTTTTGTAGACAATGACCCTAGAGACTACAATAGTCCAGCGATGTAAAGGTTGAAAATACTACAACTTCAATAATTTTTTTCTCGGAGACTATAAGGATTTTACAAAATTTGTTTTTACGATATTAACGCCATTTTCCATGAAGCATCTATTCCCAATCATTTTTAGATAAGTTGTGAATCACCCTATATACAAATCAGAGTTTCTTTACCATTATTTTACGAAGAACGCCTGCCTAAAAATTTTTCGAGACATTTACGTAGGTACTTGTGAAGTTTTTCAATAACTTAAACACCCTGTAAAATGCAAATAAAGCAACTTTGGACTATAGTACATTTGGGCCAATTATTATATTTTGATATTATTTGGTAGCACTTTTTTCTCCTTTATTTAAATACACCCTGTATAGGATTATTTAACTAGTCGTTCTAAACTCAAGTGTATTAAATTGGAGGGATTTATTTTGACAAGATCCTCTACTGCCATAATATACTACCGTTATATCTACTTGAGAGCACTCATATCGTGTAGTTGGTAGTAAATCGAGAGCTTGAAGCGCCGTTTTGATGCAACAGCAATCAAATATGCATCGCCTTATTGATTTGGCTCAATTTGTACAAGCAAGATGTCACTTTATATTACCAGTAGCGAATTGGCTCGTTCCTGATTGTATATTCAAAGATAAAAACAGGTGTATCATGTTATCGAAGATTTTTGTAACTTGTTGAATTGTCATTATACAATTCATGTTTTTTTATTGTCACTACATTACAGGTACTTATTTCTGAAAAAATACCTAATCTACTTGAAGCACAAATATAAATCAATATCCACTACATGATTATGTCTGATTAAATTCCTTTTTGCATAATAATTTTCACATACATTTACAAATTCCTATAAAATTCACTGAAAATGTCTTGTATTATACACCCACAATAGTTATGCAACTATGGCGGTAGAGAAAATCGATAGGAGAGAAATTTCATTATTAGCCATTTATGATCTACAAGCAGCAGGTAATGTAATACAACAACGGCTTATAATGACAGGGTGTTCTGCGTAAAAGTTACACCCAACAGATACGTGTAGATCCACATGTATATTTTGAAGACAGGAGTGTGTTATAAACAAAAGCGTTGATTAAAAAAAAACTGCCGAACACTTTTAGTGAAACACGCTTTCATACGAACTGGGTGTGCATTTTTTTCTAAATTGGTGCATGGTGGTGCCAAATTGACTTCAGATTCGTGTTCAGCGGGTCCGAAATTATGGGGGTAGAGTTATGGAATCCAGTTTACGGATCGGCTTCTTCCACGACGTTGCAATCCTTAAGCATAATCCCAAAAAAAGAATAAAAATTTGGGGGGAATTTTCTGGAATATTGTGAGTTCTGGCGCCAAAATGGCTTCAAATTCGTGCCCATGTTATCACATGTGCAGTAAATATTAACAAAGTGTCGAAAGCATAGTTAAACGAAACTTTTTTGTAACCTCATTGGGTTGAAGTCGATGTTCAGTTATGTTAAAATAAATAATTAATTAATAATTATTATTAATACGACTTTTAGATCGGATTCTAGCAGGGCCTCCTCCAAATAACGTTATTTTAAAGGGTAAATAGAGAGATGAAATTTACTTGAAAATTTTAATGCAGAACTTAAGTCAACGGTTATTCTTTATTAGCTTGTATTTCATTGTCTTCGAAAAAAAATATAGTTGTGTATCATCAGCGTAAAATTGTGACTTTCAGTGATAAAGAACTTTTTCAAACTGAAATGTACAAATCGTGAATACTAAGGGACCTAAAACAGACCCTTGTGACACTCTGCTATTGACTACCTACTTGATGATGAAAATATTGATTGTTGTATACCCCATTGTTTTCTGCCAGTAATTTTCAATTAGATTAATTTTAAGATTTTTTAATTCCTGACACACAGCTGCCTTATCTTTTACACTTGTAAATGTAATGTAACAAACTTGATTCTCATACAAATAGTCCAATTAACTAAGCCTTTAAATCGAAATTTTGCCAACTTGGCTGAATTTTTGATATGAGTTAGTTTAAGGTATATTATAACAATAAGTGAGAGTAATTTTTTGTTCAACCCCCGGCCAAGGGTGGAAAAAGATAAAACAAAGGGCTTTTTCAAGATAACTCAAAAAGGGTAAG